CTGAAATATTTTTCAATATTATTTCTCACAGAGTTGATATTGTCAAATTTGCAATTTGGGCAGTTAAATTTCTTTCCTTCTAACGAAAAAAAACAAGGTAGTGTGTCAAATATCGAGGTGCAATATTATCCACCAAAATGTTGTAACAAACATAAACTTCAGTAGCGATTAAAAAAAGTCAAACTATAGTAAAAAATACCGACTCGAGCGAAGAAATTAATATTGTCCAAAGTAGATATGTTAAAACAGTACTCGATTTCTTTTCTAAATATTAAAAGTCGTCGTTTATATCACCGAAAATTTGTTAACTAAGAAATACCACAGAAATAAGGAATCTTGTAAAAAAATATATTGCCCGTGTCTCTTCAGGCAAGGGACGAGTACGCGGTGGTGCTGACATTGACAGACGGCAGACTAGGGGAAGGAAACTTCATCACGCAAAGCCTGCTGTTGCTTGTGGAAGATGTGAATGACAACGTGCCAATTTTTCGGCCGCATCCGACTTCCTTGACGCTACGGGAGGATTCCGGGCCGGGTATTTTAACAACAGTGGAGGCAACCGATGCGGACTTAGGTGCGCACGGACAGGTGGTTTACTACCTGCAAGAACTCGACGGGGATAATGACATGTTCACCATTTCCACCGTAAATGGGAAAGGTGTCATCCGGCTTGTCGGTCGACTTGATTACGAAAGAAAGTATCTGTATCAGCTGAGAGTTTTGGCTATTGATCGGGCGATAAACGAGAAGGTACGTCTTGCGTTGAAGTAATTCGAAGCAATTTTTAGTGTTCGTTAGTGCAAATTGTCGTGTCGAAATTGAAGTTTGTGCGACGCATTGATAAATATTGATGTCAGCTTTTAAATTATAATTAATTAAGTATGGATGGCGATTAAATTAGTAAATTTCGGGATTAAATACGTAGGTGGAGTTTATTTAATTAAATAAAATAACTTGGTTTATAAATATTTGCTTGAAACGATCAATTTCGGGATACTGATTGTTTAGCTAAAGGACCGTAAATGAGTAAATCGTATTATCTGCGTCTAATACATCATAAAAATTGCGTAGTTTGGGTATCCAACGAATAGACTGCGGATTTTTACGCAAATTTATATTTTTGAGAATATAGCAAAAGAAGTAGAACTTTGGTAAGCAATTATATCACGTACCAGGTATTACAAAAAGCACTATAATTTGGATATTTACTGCATTCTGTGCAATTTTGTACCTTTAAATTTCCTATAAATGCATAAAAATCCGCAGTCTACTAATGAATATTAGGTGTGTACAAGTGCGAGCATCAAAATATGGATATTAAGAAGGTAAATGAAAATAATTCGAAGGATAAAGGACGATGCATTGCATTAATCAAAGTAATTGGCAAACATTGAGTTTCTGTAATGTTTCTCGTCAAATTCAACCAACTGTCGTGATGTTTCAGGATCCAGTAAGCCATTTGGCCAACTTCTATCTTCATTTTTGAAGTTATACACGTTAGAACGAAATTTTTCGAGCTAATTTCTGACGATTCTTTTAGTGATTCTTTCCCCCGTCAGTTGTTTATTTGTCTTGCTGTTTCAACTACACTAAGTCCACTTCTGAACTCGTGCAATTGCCACCGTGAATCCATTTCTTCAAAAATACACAAATACAAGAAAATAAGGAAATAATTGTATACCACACACAGTAGACCAAAATCTTACAGTATCACTATTAATTTCTCAATGAATTGTACTTACATACTATGTTCGCAATACGTAGTTACAGCAGTAAGGGAACTGCAAAATAATCATATTTACATGAAATTAAGTACATCGTGAATTTAAAAAAAAGCATATTTTCGAAGCAAATATACATTTTGAAGAAATTTTCTAATTATTTCGAAAATCTTGTCGATTTTTTAAATACACAAACACGCGCAAATAAATTCACCGCCCGCTTTACTTCGTTGTCTCGAACATAGGGGTGCCGTTTAAATTTGATTTAAGATAGAGCCCGTATAATACCGCGAAAGTAATCTCTACGGAAAATACCTTCGTAAAATATCCCAAGGACAATAGCACCGCTTATCGTTAGAACGACCGTAATACAAGTGTAACACGTCTATATACCACATTCAAGGTAACTCGAAGGTGGAATCGCGTACAAGTATTTTTTTCTTTTTCAGTATACCTTTGTATCGCAATTATTTCAGGTAAACACAGGAACAACCGCGATACTCATTAAGGTTCAGGACGTTGAGGATCAACCACCAGAATTCATAACCATGACGCCTGTTGCCAGGATCAGTGAAAACGCCAGGATAGGCACGTCGGTGCTTCAAGGTCAACTAACTCACTATTACTAGTCGAAATTACAGTCATCGTTGGAGAATGAGAAAAAGGGGCAACGAAAGGATCTCGGCTATTTCCTATATAATTATCGCTTATGTTTTTACTTGTACCGTATGTTGCGTGATACAATTTCATTACTATACATTTAAATGGCCTTATTACTCGAAAAGTTCAGACGTGCTATTACTGCTACACTAAATAAAGCTTGATACTTTCTTACAGAAAATTCACTGCTCTTTGAAATTTTGGTACAAGAACGTAGGTATTCCATTTAAAGAATTCAAGGTCAGCTTGATATCTCGTAAACTAATAGGTTATTTAGAAGAAAATGTTTTCAGAAATTTTTATATAAAGCTCTTTTTTTGTAAAACACGTACTTTGGAAGTTATTCGAGGTGGACAAGTTGTGTGATTCATTTTGTGTGTGAAATAAAACGTCTGTCTGTGTGTTTCCTGTTAACTCCTAAATCCTTCGACAGATCTGGACCAAAGGCTGCATAGTTACTCTAAATATAGGCCATTTACCATAAAACCTGAACACCTAATATCGAAAAAAAATAAATTAACTTCAATATATCGTCGGTTTAGTGAATATATATTGTTCTCCAGAAATTAAACCGAAAGATTTTCTAGATATGAATTTTTAGACTTGGATTTAGATTTTAGAAATGATTTAATTTAGTACAAAAATCTGTTAAGGCAACACTTTATTATACTACATTATATTATATTACCAGAAAAACGAGCATTGGTATAACCGTGACATTCCTGTTTCATTTTCTCATTTTCACAAATCGCTGCTCGACGTCGACACCGACATAACTCGAAAAATATAAATTTCACAGGAAAAGCAGTTTAACATTTTCTACTCTCTGATACGATACGAATGAAGCTAAAAATATACCTTTTCAGATGATAAAAATACTGTATCTGTGCAATCTATCTTTGCAGAAGTATCGAAATTGACATTTTCTGAGTTATTTCACTATCGACGACAACCAGGGAAATACTGTAATCGAAGTTATCACGTGATGAAGTCAGAATAAAAAATAATTTGCAATAAAACCTTTCCAATATTTCACAGTTCGCGCGGTGGACGGTGACAAGGGGATAAACAACAAGGTGACGTACAGCATCACTCAAGGTCCGAGATATTTGTTCGACATAGACGCGACTTCCGGTTTGGTGTTCACCAGGGCGCAACTCGACCGTGAAGCGGAGGAAAACGCCGAGGGAACGTTTATTCTGGAAATTACCGTGAAAGAAGTATCGAAGATAGTGCCTCCGCCGTCAGTTTCGACCGAAGTTACGATTATTCTGATGGACGTGAACGACGAGGTCCCAAAATTTCGAAGCGCGAGATACCGTGCCGAGATAAACGAGAACGCACCGTACAACACCGCGGTTAACTTCATCGGTGATGCGATACCGGAAGTTTACGATCACGACTTGGTGAGAAGCTTGGTTGGATAACTTTATGGGAGTATTGTGAGACCCGTGAGGGAACCGTGCGACTGGTTTCCCGAGATTTTAATAAAATCTAATTTAGTAGTTCAGAAAATTAAAGTTACGTTTTCTAAAGTATTTTGAACGATTCGTAATTAATATTAACGATTTTTATTTTATTTTCAACGATTCAGAATTATTTTTAGTGGTTTTAATTGTATTTCTAACGATGTGCAATTATTTTTAATAATGCAGAATTATTTTTAACGATTTTAATTTTATTTTCAACGATTCAAAATTATTTTTAGTGAGTTAATATAATTTTCAACGATTCAGAATTATTTTTAGCAGTTATAATTTTATTTTTAATGATTTTAACGATTCAGAATTAATATTAACGATTTTTATTTTATTTTCAACGATTCAGAATTATTTTTAGCGGTTTTAATTGTATTTCTAACGATGTGGAATTATTTTTAATAACTCAGAATTATTTTTAACGATCCAAAATTAGTATTAACGATTTTAATTTTATTTTCAACGATTCAAAATTATTTTTGGTGAGTTAATATAATTTTTAACGATTCAGAATTATTTTTAGCGACGTTAGTTTAATTTTTAACGATTCAGAATTATTGTTAGCAGTTATAATTTTATTTTTAATGATTTTAACGATTCAGAATTAATATTAACGATTTTTATTTTATTTTCAACGATTCAAAATTATTTTTTATATGAAGTATTAAAACGAAACATTTTGCAGAATATGTAAATCTATTTCCAGATATATCTCTTCGAATTTCATTAAAATCACTGGAAAACCAATTGTACGGTTCTCGTGTAAAGTATCTTCTTTCTTTTCTACTTTCTGCATTAAAATTGATTGCAGTAAATGATTAAAGGTAGAGTGATTACAGTTTGTGTCGAAAGATGGTATTTTGAATATCGTTTCATAATTTCAATTTATGCTTTCTACATTCTTCTGTTATATAATATTATCGCATGTAAAACTTTTCATTCTGATTTGTGTTTCTTATTAATTAGGTAACAATAGCTATGGAATACTTCCTTTTACTTCGACTTTCTTTGCTTGAGTAATGAACTACTTACTTCATCAAAATTGCAGTATAATTACTTTACTTATAGAGCACAAATTTATTCGATACAGCAATTAGAATTGTGATAAACACATCTTTCTTACAAGAAAACAATTTTTCAGGGAACAAATGGTACGTTCAGAATGTTCATCGATGGTGACGATGGGATATTCGACGTGACACCATCGAGAGGAATCAATGAATCCCCGTTTTTAATACGAGTTAAAAACTCCAGCAAACTTGATTTCGAAACCAGATCAGGTATTTTTAACTATTACAAAATGAATTATTCAATATTTTCCTTTTATTGCTCTTACTATTATCGTTCTTTAATAATAGCAAAGAAAGACACAATTAAGAATAATTCTACTACATTGAAAGTATTATTATGTACAATTCAATTTGAACAAATTAAACTCATAACTGCAGTTGAACATATTACATGTACTTTTCTTCTTTACACATGTTACAACATTAAGTGCAATAACAGTGTGTCTAAAATAACGTAAAGTAATGTTTCACATGGAATAACGTTTCAGTGGTAAACTTCACGTTAATCGCTAAAGAAGTAGTCACAGTAGCACCGAAATACACCAAAGTGCCGGTGGTTGTTTTCATAAAAGATCAGAACGATAATTATCCAGAATTTATCGAAGACAGATACGAGGTGTCGATTTTGGAAAATTGCGCTGTTGGAACTACGGTAGCGTGGATTCAAGCGTTAGACGAGGACAGTGGTAATTTTGGAACACACGGCATAAGATACACGCATTTAGGAGGCAGTATTGCACACGCGTAAGCTAATTAATAAACGCTAAATAATACACACTCTAGAATTAATATTATTCTTAGTGGCTTGATAAAAAAATTTCTGTCTTCCTTGGGAAGTTTGTCTCTTATCTTTTGCTTTGGGATGTACAATCACAAAGTATACAGGATGTCCGATGAGGAATTCAACAAACTTCTCTCACGTGATTAGCAGGTCATTCTGAGCAAAAAATGTCATGTACACTATAGATCTCGTTCCTTTCGTTACCGAGATAAGCACTGTTGACGCTTCTTTCAAGAGCAAGAATAAGGTTCTCAATGATAAAAGTGAAGTTTGTGCATAGCATTCAGTCTACGTTTTAGATTTAATTTGGTTAGTTTGACAATATGCACAGTGTTCTGTACTTTTCAAATGCAAAGTGTGCTGATATGATATTCATATGCAGTTTCTGCAACAAGAATAGTAGAGCTACGGTAGCTAACTACAGGCAACTCTGATCGTTCAGTTCCTTACCATTCTATTTCCTAAAATATCTTTACAAATTTGACAGAAACGGGTTTCGAACATTATTTGTAAATTAAGTAATCTACACATCAAAAATAAAATAAAGTACATGCGTCGGAATTATTGTTTCACTGTATATATGTATGCTCAATATATTGTTTTTCATATAATTGACTAAGGAAGCGAAACAGACCTATAGTGTACATGACATTTTTTGTACAAAACCACCTGCCGAATGCGTGGTGGGCGAAGTTTGATGAATTCTTTACCGGACACCTCTCCTTTTAGGTAGGAACAATTGAAACAGACACAATCGTTTTGCAATGTTATTTTATTCCTTCAGATTATCAATGGATCCATTGACAGGCGTAATTACAGTGAAAGAGCCTGGACCAAGTTTCGATCGCGAAATAATGTCCCGACATTATTTCACAGTTGAGGCAAGAGATGATCTTGGTAAAGGTAATCGTAATACTGTCCAGTTAATAGTGAACGTGAACGACGTGAACGACAACGCTCCTGTATTTCTACAAAACAAATATGAAGCTGTGCTTCTGGAACACGAGGACCACTTTGAATCGCCGTTGATCGTTGAAGCATTCGACATAGATTTAAATGGTACAAGATTTATACAAAATAGCCTGATTACTTTATTTATTTAACGATTGCTTAAAAATATACTGTTACGTCTTTAGACGGCCATAAATTAAGTCTTTTGCTGTCTTGGTGTGCAATTTTTCAATGGACACAAGTTTTTAGACACTCAAACCCTAACGTCCCCTTAGTCTGGAGAGTGTCACCTCCGATATTGTGCAAGGTTCGCGAGACCATATTTAAATATTCTCTCCGTGAGGAGAGGATGGCCCTTGGTAGCGCCCAATCAAAATTCATATCTGCAGAAACCAAAATATAGCTAGACCCACACAGACTCTAAAAGGACAGTTCTTCAAAATAGTAAACGAGTCGATAGACAAACCTGTATCTAAATATAACACTTCGTACCTCACTGCAAATGTACTTCACACTCGTTACAAGCTCGGATAAAAAAGTTGGAAACAGTGGCCTTTACAATTTTCTTCGCGATTCCCGCATATAGCAACTTTCTCAAAATTTTTTGCACACTTCTCTACCAATCCTTCTAATTTCTAAAAAAAAAACTGAAGTCGTTAGGTTCAATTTACAAAAAGTTATACTCTTCAAAAGAGTGTCCCAATATTAGTGGGAGTCACTGTAGGTGCAAAATTCAATTTTTGTACGCCAAAAATCCTACTTCTTAAAAATCACCTACAATTAAAAAATTTAATATTCATTTTTCAGAACTAACTCGTTTAAATTTCTCACAGGTACCAAGAATAGCCAGGTGGTGTACGCTTTAGTGTCGGGTGAATTTTCTCGAAATTTTAGCATCGATTCGAAACGAGGTGTTATCACCCCGACAACGCCATTGGACTACGAGGCATTGCCTATCAGTCAAGGACATAAGGAAACATCGGTACGTCCATTGCGATTGACAGTGCGTGCTAGAGATATGGGCACGCCGAGTTTGAGCTCGGACGCTCCGTTAATTATTTATTTGAAAGACATCAATGATAACACGCCCGCATTCGAGAGGACGTTGTACAAGAGAAGCATTCCTGAAGATTTGCCCGGTGGCACCAGCGTAGTTCAGGTATTATTCACGTAATGAATATTAATCGTTGCGACGTAATGGCAATTTCTAACGTCAAACGTCAAATACGGAGTTTCCGTGTCTATGAAGCACTTCATTTCGATACGAGCATCTGAATAAATGAGAGACTTCGGAACATTTTTATTACAGGTCAAAGCTTGGGACAAAGATTTATCCTCGCCTAACAATAAGTTAGTTTATCGAATTCAAAGCGGCGCGGGTGACAAATTCGTGATTAGCCCGGAAACAGGTGTGATTAGAGTTGCACCGGGCTCTAACTTAGATCCAGACCTGACTTCTCCTAAAACTACACGGTACAGCTTGAACGTGATCGCGATTGATAGCGGAACGGAGGTTCAAAGGACCGCTGAAGTTCTCGTCAATATTACTATTGTGGACGTGAACAATAAACCACCCGTTTTCATCGATCCTGAGACAGTAACCATTCGTGAAAATACACAGGTACGTGACAGGAATATGACACTTTCGTTAATAACAATAATTGTGTAATTTTAATAATTTTTATTTGTATTTTCTTTACCGCGTGCTATTGTAGAGTTAAAACAAAACTAACGAATCTCAGCACAATCGACGCTGCTCGATTACGAGTACGGAGAATTTTACGACCCACTGTAAAAGTGTGTTTGGAAATTTTTATTTTGAAGTGTTTTATTGCAATTTAATCTGAATATCCTACAATAACTTTTTAAAAATCGTTGAAAATATTTTATCGTTGCACCCGTTACATATACGTAGATACATACTACATGTATTTACATGCATGTATAGGGAAAAATATTCATTGCATTTCGTATTCAGTTTTGGAGCGACCGGGTCAAAAATGACCCGTCGGTAACTCTCTAAAAGTGAATTTTTATGTAACTTGAGACGCGATTGAAAAACTTATCTCGTATCGATACAAATAGAAGCAAACGTACAGAAGACTAGGGTCAGAAAATTACAAACGATAATACTTATCAGTATCGAAAATTCACATTTCTTTTTAAAGTTCTAATATTAAGATATTATCAGATATTACAAAATTCTAATACTTCTGATATTAATAAGACCTGTGTACATGTATGTCTATTACTTCGAGATAAATAATGTTTTAAACTTCTTCATTCGTCACAGAAACAAAATTGTGTCTTTACATTAATAAATTTAACATTCCTTTTTTCCTCGTACAACCATTTAATTCGTAATTATTGCTCCCAGTGTAGTAATCGCGGATCACGACCTCGTATTTACGAAGCACCTTCTCTGTAGGCGAATTAAATGTTTGTATCTGATCATTTGCACCGTATTATTAGGTTGGAGCGTACGTGCACCGTGTTGTGGCTAATGATCCAGACATAGCACCGATATTACGTTATCGTATCGATCCGAATTCTTCCGAGGCAAGAAACGAGGAAGGAACATTAATTAAGATCCAAGAATATGATTACCTGTCCGCTTTGGAGTTAAACGCGCTGGACGGTTTGCTTCGGGTAGTTAAATTGCTAGACAGAGAAAGGGTGGAAACGATAAGATTGGGCCTTGTTGTTGAAGATTTGGCTGCTGTTAGGGGAATACAAACTGCATCCGGTTAGTATCTGTTTTTAAAGATCAAATATCAGAGGGAGTAGTGTCTTCGAAGTTACTTCGAACAGCAAAGGGACGGCGAAGAAGCTGATAATTGTGTTATTGGTATTTCTTGTTGTAGAGAAATAATTTTGGTTCGTTTCTGTTTTAATGAAATTAATTCGAAACTTGGTTATACTTTCAGCTACGCTGAACATAATAATCGAGGACGAGAACGATAACAATCCGAGATTTCGGAGACCATTTTACAGACGATCCGTGACAGAGAACAGCAAAAATGGCGTTAATATTGCGAACATAGTGGCTGATGATGTAGATAAAAATCGGAGCATTACGTACTCGTTGGAAAGTCCGAAAGAACTGACGGATTTGGTACATCTTGATTCGGAAACGGGCGAAATGGTCGTAGCGAATAAAATCGATAGGGAACAATATTCCTGGCTGAATCTGACTGTTCGAGCCACTGACTCGGGCATTCCGCCTAGGTAAAATTTGATCGTAACTTCCGTTAAATTAATTGCACTTGTATCTACCGTGTTTATTTCATTTTCGCAAAATTATTTTATTTTATAAAAACATCTTAAAAACAATTTGTACGAATATAGAAAGGAACAGTTTTCACTTGAAGATTTTTACTTTAATGCGGTAAAAGTGATCGGAACACAAAATAGATTCCAGTTTCATATCGTTAAGTCATGTAATACGAAAAATTAATTATTCAAGTGATCATTTGAATGTTGAAATGTTCTCGAGTTTTTCTGTGTTAAAAACTGAGAAAAAAACTCTTTGGTAAATTACTATTGGAGAATCTGAGCATAATTATTGAGAATTATTGACAATCCAAGGGTAATTGAGAATGTTTGTTCGAATTTAAAAAGCCGATTTTTATTCCTCCATGAAAACTCCGACATTTCATTTTGCACGATCTAATGCCAGTCTTGTTACATTGTTACAACTAAATGTTACGCGTAGGTCCAGTCTTTCTGAAATATACGTTCAAGTATTGGACGAAAATGACAATAATCCATACTTCGTCACTGATATTGGTAACTTAACTGTGATGGAAAATGCTAAGGTTGGTACGGAAGTTGCTACCATTCAAGCGAAAGATCCTGACAGCGGAGATTATGGGAAAATTACGTATCTGTTAGATAGAATGTCATCTCAGGTAGGCAGTACTGTTTCTCGTTGTAATTATGAATTGCTTATTATAAAATTGTATCTAAAAAATATGGAGAATAGGACGAAAAATTTTGTGAAACAGGGAACGTTTGCCATCCATCCTGAGACTGGTGCTTTAACAGTAGCAGATTCAATCGACTGGGAAACCAAACAAAGCTACGTTCTAGTCATAGAAGCTTGGGATAATTACCAATTTGGTTACACAGCTGGTGAATCGAGAAACGCGTTTAAGCAAATTCAGTAAGTTACCTTGCCTTCGAAATTAATGTTAATCTATGGGAACAGTTTATGTAAATTAACACATTGACTGCTATGAGAGAACATATTTGAAACGCTTCTAAGAAATAAATAATTTCCTAATTATCGCTGTTTTAAGACACGTGTATGAATGACTCGTTACTACATTACAATGGAACATAAATCTCGTCGACTAATTAACCAGTTCAAATTAAAATAGATTTCTGTTAAACATATTCGAAATAAATTAGTAATATTTTACTGAATATAAATATACGAAACACACAACAGGTATAAACAACTTCAACAGAATTACTTTTATAAGTAAATTTTTTAAAAATTATTAACATGCATTACTTTCACAAGAAAATTTATTTTAAAATTATTAATATGCATTACTTTAATAACTGAATTTTTAAAAGTTACTAATAGGCATTAATTTCCTGAGTGAATTTTTTAAATTATTAATATACATTGCTTCTATAAGTAAATTGCGTTTTTAAATAATTAATATGCATTACAGTTCACAAGCTTCAACTGAGAATTTCATATTTACCTTACGTTCAGCACGTGAAATTATCAGAAATTAATATGTCAGAAATAAAATATTTGAATTATATATTTTTCAAGAGTTATAGTGTCAGATGTAAATGACAATCCTCCGAAAATGGACACACCTTCAACATGCGTTACAATATCAGAATTCCACGATGCCAAAGATATAATTTACGTGATCAAAGTAAAGGATACGGATGATCCAGCAACACCAAACGGTCGCGTCAGAATTAGGACTCTTTCTGGGAATGAATTAGGTTTGTGAAGCAGTTATTAGAAAAATGTAATATTACAGAAATCATCTACACAGTGTCAATGATCAATAATACAAATTTACACTGATTCGTTTAATTAGGTTTGTTCATCCTGGAGCAGACGGATTATTGGACAGCGAATATAAAAGCGGCTCATTCGCTTCGAGGGAAATTCGGTAATTACTCGTTGCATTTAGAGGCGCGAGATCTTGGTAGTCCTCCGAATAAAGATACCTCAGTTCTAAATATCTGCGTAACTGATTACAACGACAATCCACCGGTGTTTATCAGCCCGCAGCATAATACAACTATTCGAGTACCAGAGGTGAATCTTTGTTTATATCGCGATAAATATTCTCCTGTTTTTACAAATAATTCTCTTATAAGCATTATTAACCCTTCAATCTGTAACAACGTGTCAGACCCGTGACGGCGATTTTGGTCGAGATGTGAGAAGAATAGTATTAGCAAGGAAAATGAATTGTAGACCTAACTTTCGTTTTAATTTGTAAGACCGAGAATTACTAAGTGGAACTAATCTGTAACAGATTAGCTTTTGATAGCTGGTGCAGTACTGAAAGAGTAAATGGCCGACACTTAGGTTAAAGGGTTAATAATTCAAAGCTCATCAAATATTTTCATTACTGAATTGTAATACTTTCTCTGAGATATGTCGTGTTTTGTGTGCAATTTGTGTAAAAGAACAAATTTTATTTGCGACTTATTGCTAACGAAGATTGCAGGTACACGATTTTATTATAAAGTGTAAAAATTTATAGAATGTGACAGTTGGGACGCCGATTATACAAATTGAAGCCAAAGATGTTGATACTGGTCCAAACGGCGACGTGCACTATCGTTTGAAGCAAGATTTGGGTGGCCATTGGAGGACCTTTCATATCGACGATACAACCGGAGTTATCTCGTTGAAACTTCCGTTAGACAGAGAAACGCAAAAATTATACGAGGTGATTTACATTAATGAAAAGATAAAAGAAACTGCAGGTTTTATGGAAATTATTGCATGTGTATAGTCTACGGTCGTGTAAGTACTATAACCGTAAAAGTTAGGAGCCATAAAGCAATAGAGTAGCCTTCCTATCGTAATTGTTCACGCACTCATGTAGTTTCCTTCCACCAGCCTTCTCCTTTTTTTTTCTGGTTTTTACAATATACCTCCAGTTTATAAATATTTACATTTTCACTTTTTCCCTTCAGAAATTTCTCTAATTAACCCAATCATTCATTCCTAATTTTTGACTACTTTTCTCAATCTAGGCAATCAATACTAATCCGAAGCTGTATATTTCACAACACAGCCAAATATTGTGTCGTGTCAATACACATACATATTAATTTCATAGTAACATTCAGATCTTCTAAGAACACCAGTTAAACATAACAATACGACTCATTGTCAGTGTTGAGTAGACAGTCTCAAATTTTATACACCATCAACTCATCAAACGTGACCAAATCGCCCTCGCGTCATTCTTGAATTGTCCTTTTAATTTAAAAAGTCATCTTTTAATTGAAAATGTCGGGAGTCGTAGCGCCGAATAAGTTGAATATGCAAATAGTAATGTAATATTTATATCGTAAATTTTCATCTCATAATAGAAATTTCTTTGATCCTTGTGAAATTTCAAACAAAAATGATGTATTAAATGACCAAAAAGTAAAGCATTCCATGTAACATTTTCATTGAAAGTTATTATTTTTGCAAATAGATCAGAGTGGAAGCATACGATCTTGGAACTCCGACATCGCTCAGTTCAGACCTAGATTTGATCATTTACGTTCGAAACATCAACGATTACGAGCCACAATTTTTAGTCGACATTTTCAACATCAACTTCACGGAAGAGCAACTTCCTGGATCTGAAACAATACTGTTGCCCGAAACGATCGACAGAGACGAAGTCGACGATCTCGACGATCCTCCCACTCAAGTCTGTTACTTCATAATTGGCGGGAACGACGATGGCCTCTTCATCCTCGATATTTTTAAGCACGAGCTGAGCGTAAGTTTCGATAAACAAACGCCAACTATAAGCAAAAGTAAAATTTTATAAACTCTAATTCACTGTTTGTAATTAATCACCCCAGACTGCCAAAACGTTAGACAGGGAGCAACAAGAGCAGCATCTGTTGATTGTGAAGGCGACGGAAGACTGTAATACTGTTCCAACGAATGAGAGAGCGAATGAAACATTTTTCGACGAAACGAACGACACTATGCTGAAAGTGATTATAGATGTAGTTGATATAAACGACAATCCACCGAAGTTTGTTAGCAAAATATTCACAGGAGGAGTTACAACGGAAGCTGATTTTGGCACTCAGTTTATGCAAGTAGAGGTAACGTGTATTCACAAACTAATTAAGGAAACAAATAGTTAAATAAGAAAATCTTTGGATGTTACCAATATTGTGCAAACATTGCGTGAAAAGTGATACTTTGGTAATATTGATAGTGTTTTGAAGACATTAATGTAATAAAAGTATAATAAATACAGTCATCGAACATAGATATAATCATATGAAAATTATTTGAAAAATTATGTGCGTATGCGATTGAAAATTATTTGAAAAATCGTATGCCAAAAAAAGCCAAATTCTTGTTTCAGGCGATTGACTTGGATGCAGGCGACAATGCTATAGTCAATTATTATCAAATAGGTAAAATGCATATGACATTAACGGAGGGTTTAGACGACATTGAGTTACAACCTTTCTTAGTTAACAAACTCACTGGAGTAGTGAGTTTAAATTTTGATCCTCAAAGGGGCATGAAAGGATACTTTGACTTTATGGTGGGTTAAATTCGTTTGCTGTGATTTCTATGATAATTATTCGAAACGTCCACTTTTGGTCTCAACGTCTTAAAGATACACTACCGGCCAAAAGTTTCGAATCACCTGCTAATTTACGGTAAAATTGAATCCGCTGCTAATTTTTCATAGATTTGAAATTGATGTCGCGGAGATCGATAGTATTTTACCTTATTTCTATTGATTTGAACGAGGAAAAATTGGTTAAAATATTCTTAAAATTGCTAACTTTATTCTGGAAATTTTTGTATAACTTGTAATGCACAGTGATTCTGATGCAAAACTTACGTCTTTAAGACATTTGTGTGCCGTTTGGGATGTTTAACGACAACTGTGTACGAGCATTAAATAAACATTTCAAATGCAACTAACGTTAACAAAGTTTCATTAATTAATGCAAACAGGTATTAGCCAATGACACACACGGTTTGCAAGATACAGCCAGAGTATTTATTTACTTACTACGCGAGGATCAAAGAGTTCGTTTTGTACTGCGACAGCATCCACCGGAAGTCCGCAACAGAATAGAAACGTTCAGGGAGTAAGTTCGAAGAACAAAATTTGCGAAGCTGCTGACTTTTAAAATTTACCTAATCTTTACTGTTTCACTGAACCGCACAATATTTTACACATAAATCGCTAATCGCGTAACAGTTCCTAAAAACGTACCACGTTACCTGAAATCCTCTCTCGAATAAATGACTTCTCGTACAACTTTTCAATACTTAAAGAATCGCCAAAAAATTGTATAATTTTATGATTTTAGGACACTGGGCAACGTGACAGGAGCGATAGTGAACATCGACGAGTATAAAATCCACGAGAACCACGACGGTTCCGTCGATCGAACAAAAACTGACCTGTACATACATCTTGTAAATCGCCGCGACAATTCCATTCTTGAGGTATCGGAAGTTCTGAAATTGGTGGACAGAAATATAGAGAAGCTCGATAATTTGTTCAAAGAATTTAACGTTCTCGACACGCAAGCGGCGCAGTATCAGCCAATTGTTCAGTACGAGCAAGCAGGGACGACGTTTTGGCTTTTGACTTTGACCTTGTTTCTGGGTGCTCTGCTAATTCTCTGCATAGCCCTGTGTCTTTCGCAAAGAGCTTCGTTTCGGAGGCAATTGAAAGCAGCGAACGCCTCTTCCTTTGGTAAATATCGTTAACTTTACGCATTACGCGAGAGATATTATCGTAAGTCGTGTATTAATTGAATTATTATTAATTTCACGTTGAATAAGAGAACGCCAGAAAACATGGTGGAAGCAGACACGGTAAATTGTTGATATAGATACTTCAAATATTAGCTTCGATAATATATATTGTACGTTGCTTCGTTAAATTTATTATTTTTACGATTGAACAGCTTTCAGTTGCATTAATTTAATATGCAACGTTCTTTTTGTTAAGAGAATAGCAGAAAATACACGCATGTTTAATCAGCTTTTAGATGTCTCTTGGTTCAAGCAACATACTCTTCTCTTTATATTACCAATATGTTTCTTATTTTAATCATAATATATTCATGTAATTTTACACAATATACTGCACAGTAAAATGAAAAAATTGTGGTTTCTTTTGCGTACGAAAGAGATTTTAGTATTGGGTCATATTTGACCCAAAGTGTTAAAATTAAGCATGCTCAAATTTTGATTGATTGAAGAATTACAGTTATCAGAGAACAAGTTACAATTCTACAAGAAATGCAAAATTTACAACTGTCAATGCATATCTTTTTACTTCATATTGTGCAACGTACGAACGATATTCTGCATACTTAAATCGGTAATTAAGCATAATTTAAAAAAGCTTTTCCCTGTTATTTATTTCAAACTTTTCAATAAATCACGTAAGTACTTTTCTTATCTCCGAACAATTTAAAATACGGTTATAAGTAATATCGAAAGCATTTCAGATTAATGTATCATGATTAACGTTTGCGAAATCTTACGAAATAAATAAATCAGTGATGTACCTTTTATTTCTAAATATTTGAATAAGGGCTGATAGGCGAGCTCTGAACAATCGCTACAAGGTTACACAAGAAGAAACTCGCTGCGTTATTAGCTATTTTTGTTTATTGAAATAAGAATAAGGTAAAAATGTTTTTTTTTAATTTTCCTTTTCAAGGTACATCAGACGCAGAGTTTATCAGAGGTCCTGGACGCGTTCCCAACACAAACAAGCATAGCGTAGAGGGTTCTAATCCCATATGGATGCATGCTTACGAAAACGAATGGTTCAAAAGTGACGAGTCGATCAGTCACACATCCGAGAGGGATTCTCTCGATGAAAATGCACTGAACAACGAAGAAATGATGAACGAAGTCAATGCAGACCAAAGAAACGACGATAAACCGTATTTTATTGAGCCAAGAGTGTCTTCCATTTCAAGGTAAATCTTTCTTATTCTATACTAATTCAATTGATGAAACAATTAATCATTTTACATAAATAGAAATATATCTTACGATTATTTATACGTTCGTGTATTATGTTTTTCAATAATTTTCCTAATCAGATATTCCTTTCCTAAAATCCTTCGAGTAAAATGTCAGGCTTAATTCTTGTCTCGAAGTTTCATTGTAACAAATTCGTGAAAAATATGTTTTCATGAAAATTTCATTAGTCAACAAATTAAATCAATCTCTGGAAAATTAAACAATCTTAAAAAAATTCGCTAATATAATGTGAAATGGGGAAACTTGGAATATAGAGGTGTAACAGGCGCGTTATTCTTCCAGAATTTATGTAAAAAAATATAATTGGTATTTTCTAATTGTTAATAATAAATTTTCATTGCAGCGTGGAGAGTATTCCAGATATGCCAAGTAACTTCCATCGAAATTCATCTTTATATCGAACACAAAATGCGATAGTTAATCCTCTTGGTAAGAAAATTGAAACAACGGAGCTATAATTGAACAACGACAGTAACACTTCGAACAAAGATGTTTAATTAAGTGCTAATATTAATAAGTTCGTAGGAAGTGTAAATTTAGAATTATCCATGTAAATAGTCTCACTTCGTACATACGATAGCATATATTTAATATTTATTTTAAAAGGATAACGACATAGATTTTGTATTATCGAAGCCGTATTATTTAATTTATTTACGGTTACAGTTTAATCCGAGCCTAGAGTAAAATATAAATAATTATTTTCAACGAATCTCATTCCCAAGTACATCAAAACTATTGTGTAAAATAAAATTTATCAATGATCTCTGCACACCAACATCCCATACTACATACCTTTGTATACCTTTATACTTCCTCTGAAGAATAAAAATTTAGCTCAGCGATGCTCCAACTTTCTCCTTTCATTGACTATGGTAATTGCAACATTTCTTTAACATTTGTTGACTAGTTCGTTAGAAAGAATATTTGCTCAGTAAATCTCATTTTATCTTATTAAAGATGGTTCACTTGCTGCACAATCGAATTAAAAATTATCCCAGAAAAGTTCAAAATTTTTTTAGCGAAAAAGATCCCAGCAAAGCCTTCATTTGACAGTTAGGAATTTGAGAGATTTAGTTACTCTTGTGGATCTACAATGTATCCTAAATTTTTTAGCAAAATGGTTGAAAATAGCTTAGAGTAATTTGACAATTTGAGTATATCTCCGAATATAAATTCTGTCATCGTGAAATTTACTACTGTTATTCCACGTTATTAAGAAAATATAACGAACTTTGTCATTCGTTGTTAAAACTTATATTACAAATCTAACTTTAGATATTAATTGGTTAAGAAAAGGTAAGCAGTTAGCAGGACACGACTGATTCTTCATTTTGAAGCCGAAATCGCCAGTAGTTCATGCCAAAAAGCGAGAACCACATTACAGTGTCCCTCATGCATGATACAATACTTCCAATTTTAGTACCATTAATCACTAGTCCACTTGGCTATTAGCATACCTTGCACGAAGTTTGGGATCACCTGCCAATTTGCATCAATATTAAATCTCCTTACACATTAGAAAATTAACGTTGTGAAGATCAATTTGACGTGAACGATAAAACAATTCCTTAGAAAATTCTTCAAATTGCTAACATTCGTGTATGCATATAAACATCAAAATAGCACACATCTCGCAAAATTTCTACAAATTCCTAACAGCACAAATAATTAACAAGCCCAACTGTTTACATTCCGTTTCTTCTACATCTCGATACTCATCCAACACTTTCACACCTCCACGTTTCTCAATGAACCACGAAACGACGTATTTGCAAAACCCGATCGACCGACGCATAATTTCCCCAGCAAAAACACTGTGACACAACGTGACAAAGGCATGCGGCGAACCGTTCGATCAAAAAAAAACCTTCGTGCAACAATGTCAGGTGTATTGAAGTCATACATAAAAAGTGCTATCTCACGTTGAGCGATTGTAAATTAGAACGTGATGACCGGGCGTGTAGAATAAAGCCAAACCCCCGGAACAATCTTGCTCGTGTGTACCCTTAACTGGGTCGCATAATATTAAAGTGCGACAGCACTCAACCCGATCGAGGGCTGAGCCGCGACCGACACGATGATCCTTTCGAATTATTCTCGATTAAGATCGACTACGTGGCTTCCTGCGGAATTTTTTTTTCCTTCGCGAGATCGCTATCTGCGAGAGAACTATCGCAGGGTGGGCGGGGGGAGAGAATTGTTGCGGATAATATCGGCGGCACGAAATACTCCGTGAAAGAAGAATCCATTGTTTAAATGCAAATTAACCGTCTGTACGTACCGGTGACCTCGATGGGTTAGTTACACTTCTCGGTCTCTTTCACCCTTACCACAATCCCGTGGGCTCAGACGAAAGTTTCCTTCTTAACATTTACACTCACCCTACACGCCATCCTCGAATTAACCGCAAAACTGTCCGAATCTTAATTGTGTTTTGCCCAAAAAAGCTCGATAAGATACGCTTTTCATGGCCAACATCTGAGGTGTACGTCGTTGAGTTTGAAGGTTTAAGCTTGATCTCGAGATTCTAGTTTTATGCGACGGAGATTATTTTTTTTTCTTAACGTCAAGTCTGTTGAATGAAAATATGGATAAAGATGCTTTTCGCAGAATTTTCGTGCTTTCGTGAATCATACTTTGTAAGATTGATCGAATTTTTTTTTTTGCGTAGTGTGCCGTTTTAATCAACGCACGCGAACATCTTTGAAATTATCGTTAGAAGCGAAGGCACTTTGGATACTTGAAGGTCATCCTCACTCTTTTTAGTTAATATTATACGGTGAAAAATAAGGAAAAAAATGAATAAAAATGACTAACTAATTTTAGAGCAATATCAATTAAGTTAATAAAAGTTCAAGAGTGAAACGTCATTAAAACAACAATTAAAAGTTAAAATTCTACAATATACAGGGTGTTCCAGTTTTATTCAATCAAACTTTGTCAGTATATTCTATGGGTGTAAATAAGGAAAAATGATATATAAGCATAAATCATTTGAAGCTTTATTAAAAAGGCATGACAACAATACCAAATACGAAGGGAATAGTAATGCATGTGCGGTTATGAAACAAAATAGGAATAGATCAACGATATGTACACTACTCTGTTTATACAAGCTGTGTTTACGATCTCAGATCGTTGAAGATGATGAATGTAACTTTCGCCAATCCCGTTCTTGCCTTGTATCAGAGTAACCGCAAATTCGTTACCATTCTCTTCGTATTTTTCTTGTAACTTCTTAACAAAGCTTCAAACAGCCTATGCTTATATAAAAAAATTTCCTTACTTATACCCGTAGAATATACCTACAAAGTTTGACAGAGTTTGATCGGGAAAAACTAGGACACCCGGTATGTAATATCAACCCTCCGTAGGCAATCTGATCTTCTCGAAACGAATTTTTATGTTTATTAAAAAAAGGTATAAAAATTTCACTTAACGAACTGAATAGTACAGTAGAGACCTTCGATAAGTGCCTCAGAATTTTTTTGAGATTTTCAAATACGGAGATTGACAAAAATCATAAATTACAGAAATTATTAAGATGCCTTTTTTCAAGTATCCAGTGACTCTTGTTGAAATATAGAAATAGTTGTACACGAATCATTCGAATTTCAAAATTCTTCGTACAGTCTTACCTAAATGTATCAGAATTGGCAAAAATTTATCGCACTCAACTCCGATTGTTCTAGCCTTAATACACAAATTATGAGCGTGTACAATATCCTCCATAACGATTTGTTTGATTCGCACTTCAGACGCGGAGTTCTGTAAATAAGGGCTGTCATAAGGGTGTACGTTTTACGAGACGGAAAATGAGCGAGTCAGAAGTCATACGCACAGTCGCTTGTAGGTTGAGAAGTAAGGTAGCCGAGGAAACGGCCACCTACTCCCTTATCGTATTCCTGAACGTCAGCCTCGCGTGCAACCTTATGCTAATCTCTGCTAGCTATATAACCGACTGGTCAGTGTTCGAGCCATTCCCCCGTGCCGCTCCTTTTCAACCCTTCACTGGCTCCCAGACTGTCTGCGAAATAACCTACTAGCGTTTCCACTAAAATCAGTAGCGTAGCTATCCTTAATTGATTGAAACTGCTGGAGCAGGTGTTCGCCATATACGCGAAATTAAACGAATAAGAAAGTCCGCGTAATTTATGAACGCGCTAATAAATGATACAGATCGTCTTGATTAATCTTTTCACACTTCTCCGCTGATATATTCGCTTGTAGATCATTGAATTACGAAGTTGTCGTTAATCATTCGCCGGCAATCCAACGCGACAGTTCGTTCTTCTTTGGATAGGCAAGGAAACGGATTAAAAATGACTGCAGAGCTAGGAAAAATATTGTTTCATATAGTAAATAGTCTATTTTTGATGTGAACATTTTTCAAAATAGTATTTTATTTGGAGAATATGGAAAATATTATTATTATTAATTTATTTCGGGGTTTTCAGCCCAGAAATAGGGTTTGGTTTACAATTCCTGTGATTCATTCTTCCATACATACTTATTCTATATCAGGGGTGTCCAACTGGCGGCTCGCGAGCTGAACGGCCCCTACTTCACTCGGATGAACTTCTCCTCCGGGTGCTGCACAAGCCCCACCATCAGCAGACTAGTCACCCGGATAAGTCCCTCGTTCGTAGCTGACACTACCAGGGCCGTAAATATGGAGCGGGACTTGTGCAACTCCTGGAGGAAAAGAAGTGGGTGAACAGGCTGGAGAGCCCAGACTCGCGTGGCTCTCGGATGGAAAGAAGTTCGACATCCCTGTTTTATATTATTAAGTTTATTTCGGCTTCTTCAGCCCAGAAATAGGATTTGCTTTACAATTCCTGAAGATTCTTCTTTTATTTACTCTTACATACTAATCTATATTACTTACTATTCTATTAAGTAAGCTTTGGTATTGTTCTATTGCAACCTT